TTTTTAATCTATGCTTATGCAGCACTAAAATTAATCAGAGTTAACTCGATTAATTTCACAGTCCTAATATAATATAATATAATATAATATAATATAATTGACCCATCACATAAACACCCACGTGGAGAGTGGGCAGATATCAAATAATTTTATTATGTGTCTTACACCATAGTGTGGCTTACAACACATCAAAACTACACAAACAAGCAGGCAGACATAAATATTCCTCCAACAAAAAGTGTCCTCTTCCTGAGGTACCAGCCTTTAAAATAAACTGGGCTAACTGAAGATCAAAATACTTAAATTAAAAACTGCACTTTATCTTCATCAGTAAAATAAAGAAAATCTGAATAAACATCAAGAACTTGATCAAATAGTGCATTTCTCAAAATTGTATATGAAGTACAATAAAACAAAAAGTGCACTTTTGTTTCAGTTTCACCCAAATTACATAAAGAACATAAACGATCCTCTGGAACTGAACAAAATCGACCAGTTTCCAGAACCAAAGGCAGATCTAAGCTGTGAACTTATAACTTTCTGACCTTCCACTTCACAGCTGCCCTGATCCTAATCCTCATACTGAATCAGTTAATCCAGCTCCTGCCTGACCTCTGACAGATAAGTTTATAAGTTGTCAGGCCGAGCAGAAACACAGCTGAATCTCTGGAAACACTGCAGACTCACACGACTCAGGTTCAAAACTCACCAGACTGAGTTGAGGCAGTGAATCTGAGTAACAAATGACATAGAGCAATAAAAAAGTAATTAAACACACATGTGTTCAGTGTGTGACTGATTTGTTTCATGCACATGCAATGTTAATGTGCTTTTCCAGACACAACTAATTAAAGGTTCAACATATTTGTGATTCCTCTAATAAATAAAATGTAATGAGCATTTTTTTAATCAGATGAACGCCTAAATGAAACTTTACTTTGTTATAATGTGTCTTACTGTGACTCCACTTGTCTCGTTTGATATAGAAGATGACTGTTCACCAATGAAGACTCTTTCCTTAGCTTCACYGCTATGGCAGGTCATTTTAGCATAAAATCGGTTTCGTCTGACTGTAATTACATTCTTGATTTCTAAAAATGAGTTTTGACTAGGAATAACTACATTTTGACTACCTGGAATGTTAATGTAAGATATCTGTATTAACATCCTGACTAGTCATTATTCCAATTCAAGATATCTTAAAAGGAATTTAGTCAAAATACCTATTTGAGATATCTTGAATAACAAATATGACCAGTTATAATTCAATTTCAGATATCTGGAATGGAAATGTCGTGAATCCGATGTTATGCTAAAAGGGCTTGCCATACACCTAAACCTCAATGAACTCTACAAGAAGCAGCTGAACAGGAGCTGTCAATCAAACCGGCCCGCCCATCGTAGAACACAACAAAAAATTTAAACACAATCCTCACATAAAGTCTGCTACACCTGCTGAGTAATGAACCAGGACCTAAAGTTTTAAGAACTTCTTACACAACWTAATGTTTTACACTTCATCAGCAGGTTGTTCTGTTTTTATCCACACAGAGTTGTAAAGCAGATTTGTTACTGTACTTAAGTAGAATTTTTGGGTATCTGTACTTTACTTGAGTAATTACTTTTCAGCCTAGTTTTTACTTCTACCCCTTACATTTTTTTAAAAATGTCAAGAAGTAGAAAGTCATTACTTTTATTTCATTTTTGCTTGTTTTCATTCCAGCTTGTTATTGTAC